TATTTCACAGGAGTGAACTAAATTGAAGTAATGTTAAACAAATAAAAAAAACCTTTTCAAAGATATTCATTCAGAAAATCAATTCCTTTCCTTAAAATATGATATGAAGCAAAATTTCAAAATTCACAAACACTTAAGACTTAGTTATTATTGAGCTTTTGTAATTTACAAATTCTTTCTTTATAAATTAAATTTTGATATTCAGGATTACATGAGTTTATTTGGGAATTTAATATATAAAACACAAATTATTATTAAATATTTTATTTTTATTAATTTTAATAGAAATCGAAAATGTAGATTAGATGCACTTAAGTTGATCATCAAAATCAATATATAACAGGCTTTTGCATAGACAACACATGTCCAAATTAAAGACCTTATTGTCATTTTTGCTTGCCTAGCCATGTTTAACATATTAATAAATTAACATCTTAAGAATTGTTATCTGGATGGATTAAGGAAAAAAGTCTTATGGTTCAAAATGTATATAAGAATGTTTAAGAATGTGAAATTGCCCTAAATAGTCTTATAAATGTGATTCTTCCTTATATTAATTTTAATACTTAATAATTACCAGATTTAGGATTATCACAGATTGATCAATTTATAAAAGGTTTATGTTTGATGGGAGAATGCGATGAAAAATTATTTAAACAACTTTTACAATCAATTGAATAAACTAAATCATTTGTAAATGAAATACTAAAAAAAATAAAGAATCAAAAAATTATAAAGTAAAAAGATAATTCATAAATTCTGCAATGTATTATAAATTAATCATTTAGAATAACCGAAAAATCTCAGTATATTAGAACCAAATCTGAACCCATTCGCCTTTGATCTCATGAAAGAATGTTCTATTAAGTAAGATGAATGGTGTAGCGCTATTGCATTTAACAAAGATTAATCAATCGTGGTAGCTGGATGTAAAAATGATATTAATGTATTTCAACATTTATAAGGGAAATTGAATTAAATATAATAGTTAAGTGAACATACTAATTATGTATATACTTTAAATTTCATGAAAAATACAAATAATTTCGTATCTGGAAGTTTTGATAGTTCAATTATAATATGGTAGTTGATTGAAAATAATAAATGGAAATGTTAATAAAAATTGAATGGACATTCAGATTCTATATATTGTTTATAAATTAATAATACTGATGATCTAATTATATCAGGTAGCGTAGATGAAACCATAAAATTTTGGATGAAATAAGATTAATGGTTGTGTTAATAAACCATAACTGATCATACTAATATTGTTTATTCATTAAGCTTAAATGAACAATAAAATAGATTGATATCTTGTTCAGATGATTCATAAATATTAGTAATAGTATAGTAAATGTTGGATAAAAAATGGAGTGTTACATAAAGGATAAAAGTTGATTAATGGGGATATAAATTATGTTTTATTGATGATTATCAGTTTACATTCTAACCATATTGTAAAGAATAAATGGATATATATGAGATGGATAGTAATACTAAATAGTATAGGAAGACTAAGGAAATTTCTGTAAAGTTTGGTTCGGGTATTGATAATTGGTAATTTCCATAATAATACTTAAAGTCAAAAGGACTCCTAGTAAATAAGAATGGTTATTATGTTAATTTAATAAAGAAGAAATAAAATGGGGAGTTTATAATTTAACAATCAATTGAGTTTAATACTTATACTATTTCTGGATAATTAAGTGATTCAGGGGAGTATTTGATCACTTGGGATTTTAGATCAAAAGAAATATAAATAAGAAAGTGTAGAGAATGATGAATATTATAATTAATAAATTATAATATATAAGGGTTCTTAATTGTTAAAATAATGATTAATTAACTAAGAATAAATCTCAATGAATTAAAGACTTCAGAGTATTAAAAGTTGATTAGTACATTCTATTTTAAGTTTAATCAGTTATTGAAAATCCATTTTTATATTCTAGTATATTGAAATACATATATGTCAAGTAAGTTTATTAAGACATGAGTTATGGTAGAAAGGAGAACGATCAGTCAAAGTTTATTTTTAATTATCAGTGAAAGACTATAATAAATTATAATGGACATATTTTATGAAATTTTTTAGAGTGCACTATTGAAGGTCAATTAATATCAAAAAATCTAATGGAAATATAATATTGATTACAAAGAATATTATATCCAAGGAAGGCATTGATGTAAAGAAATAATTTGAAAAAATTTTATAATTGCTAAAAAATAATGATTAAGGAAAATAAACAAATTCACATAAAAATGTAAGAATAGAAGATTAATATAATTTTTTAAGATAATATGCATCTTATTAATTCATATTAACCTTATCTTGGATGATATTTATAAATGATTAGAAACCTTTTAAGGATTAATGTCTCTTTTTACTTCATTTTTTATCTACTATTAAGATTGAAATAAAGATAAATTAGGTATTAATGTAAAAATATTATATGTAGCATCTATTAAGTTTGAGAATATTATCTTTATATTTTGAAGTATTTTCTTTTTATAAATAAAACTAATTAATTTTAGAATGATATTTAAATCTTATTTTTAAGCATCTTTTTTAAGTTAACCTGATTTTTTATTTTTTAGGCCTATTATAATCATTTAAAGTAAGCATTTTAATGTTGTTATAATTTGATAAATATGAGAAATCATGAAAAGACATTTATTTAAACTAATTTGATCAGAAACAAACAGCAAATTTTGAGTTTATAATTATAAAAGACATCTTAAAGGGCTGATGAAGAGGAGAAACTCATATCATGAATAAATTTTAATATCCTTATTAAAATGATATGAAATGTTCAAAAGTAGATAGCAACATTGAATTTTGCATAATTAATAAAAAAATAAAAATATACCTAATATATAAATATTAAAAAGGGATGAATAAAGTAAAAAATTATATCTAGAAAGAAACCTAATAATTTAATGAATCATTTATTTTAAATATTAGACTTTTTATAGATTTCAAATTTTTTTGGTGTAAAAATAGAAATAAACAAAGATTTCATTAAGTATATAAGAGAATAAATGTACAAAAGGGGATATCTAACTGAGATTTACAGCTGCCAACACTTGTTTTCAAAAATTTTGTGTTAATTTGAATAGAATTTTATATAATTCCAAAAATGAATGACTCATAAATCGAAAATAAGGCAGCTTCAGAAAATTTATTTATTATTTTAACAAACATTTAAATATCATAATCAAAATGTAATTTGAGACACCTGGGGTTAATTATGCTGTGAGTTTTAGAGAATGTCTAACTCTAAATCTAAGTGGAGTTCTTTAGGAACTGCACTACATATTTTAATTTAAGTATTATAAGTATAATCCTCCTTAATATATGATAGAGATTTTAATTAAAATCGATGAAGTAAAAATAGAAGGTTCTGTACTCTATCGGGTAGGTATAGATAGCATTTAGAAAATCAAAGGAAGATTCCGAATCTGTAATAGGATCAGAAAAAAAAATAAGGAGGTTGTCCTTAATATCACTCTGATCTC